AGGTTTTATTAGTATTCCAGTCGAAGACTGGAATTTGGCTGAATAATAGTTTTTTTTAGCTTTTTTGAGCAGTTTTGTCAGAAGGTTTCGGTATATCTTGTACTTGTTACCAACTTGAAAATTGTTGGGGAGACCTTTTCATTTTAGAAAATAATTTGTGTTTTGTTTAGTTGAAATAAGAAGACCTTTCGAGAGCCAGGGCTTACAAAACGATTTGCTATTAACATTACATTTTTTAATTGGGGCGTGCCTTGATGCAATAGCACTGAAAGCATCACAGAAAATCTTGAGTGCCCGATTTGGTTCATCACAATTATAAATTGGCTGCCAACATGTATTGTTCAAATCGGAAACAAATTTGTCACGGTTATAATTTGAGAAGTCACATTTGTAAAATATCTTGCCTTGATTGAAATGATGATGTAAATTTTCGTATATAGAAAAAATGGGAAAGTGGTCACTATATATTAGTCATATTAACGTAGCCACTGTGCACAAGTAACAAGTAAAGAGGAAGAAATGCAAACTACGAACACGTGTTATTTATATATTGTGTTTTAGAATGTGGGTGACGGCCAAAACATTTCACGAACATGGATCATAATACAGACTGCTTAGCTGAAAGTTCAAAAATCTCGACAAATCAAATAATTCAATCTTATTATGAGGACCCCAATTTCGTTTTCTAGATTTTTTTCAAAAAGTCAATTTTAAGAGAACTTCTCTCACATTTGGTTATAACCGTCTTTGTCAATATTCAAGTGTAAATAACAAAACAAGCGTGTCGATGCAAAGTTCGGCGTTTGTATATTCTCAGATTTGTCATGATTTAACGGTAAGCCAAAAATGAGACTCACGCGCACTCATGCCCTAACAACCAACGTATGACGTCAAGATAGACCCCTCATCCCGACCCGCATTGTCTCTTTTTCTTTTAACAGTGTGTGGATATTCAGTACAGTACAATAAAAGTGATTACATGTTCCACACTATTACTTAGAGCTCGTATCCATGGCACTTCATTCAAATTAAAAACATACGCTTTTATTTGACATAGAAGCCATTTGATAATTACCCATGAGTCTTTGCAGAATTCTTTCAATCATTGGCTGATTTACTGTCATGCATTAACTAACGCGCTGTGATTGGTCAAGTTGTTCTCAACCATCATTTAAAATTTATAAAACATTTATAAATGTTGTATTATAAAAAAAATAGCCATGCTTTCATGAAAGTTGCTATATATTGATATTTCAGATTAAATATAACACGAATGCAATAATCGAACTGTTAATAACCCGTTTTAAAATGGTATTGAGCTGATACATTTACAGTGAATATTCAGCTTGTCAACTTTTTAATATGATTGATTGATTTTGTCCAATTTTGGGACATTTAATTACTGTGGTGGTACTTTTGTGTATTTGATTTGAAAATAAATGTTTCAACCTATTTATATTTTGGTCACTGGGCACAGCTACACTAAACACTTTTGAGGTATTCACATCTATGTAGAGATTAATTATAGTACGATACCCGTATCTATACAAAAGATCACCCCGAGGTCAATCTGTACATAATTCATTCAAATATTATTGCCTAGATACAAACCCAAATGTGACACCTTTAATATCGTATTGTCAGTAACACGCCGCGGTCACGCGCACTATGCATGTCACTTTGACATAGGACCGATCCAGACACCGCGAGGTCTACATGTCAAAGAATACTTTTCACTAACACCGCCGCAACAGATTTTAATTGGATTGCGTGATTGTAACAGATAGGTGTATATTACGTGGAATGCTGTTACCTCATATTATGCTTCTATCGGCAATGACGATTGTTTCCATATATGGTCTGCCATAGCTTCACTAATGTACCGTTCAAAAGCCACGTTAATACAATCATGTTACTC